CGGCGGCGCGGCGGCGGCGCGGCGGCGGGCGGTGTTGGTGGCGGGCGGTGGTGGTGGCTGCGCGGCGGCAGCTGCGGCGGCGCCTGCAGCGGCTGCTCCTCCTGCATCATCTGCTTGTCGGAGACGAGGTCCCACTGGGAGGGCGGCGCGAGGCCGGTGTCGCTCTCCTTGACGCCCACCAGCTCAAAGATCTTCGTGTTGAGCTCCTTGATGTCCTTCTCCACCCCGAGCACCTTCTTGTTGTACGGGCCGACGCCCTGCGCGACGGCGAGGGAGGGGCGCAGCGGTCACGCCGCGGCGAGAGAGCGGGCGCGGCGGCGGCGGCTCACGTAGGTTTTGAGCAGCGCGATGTCTCCCTCGTCGAGCGCCTTGATCTCCTTCTTGTCCTCCTCCTCGTCGGGGTCGTCGTCCGGAGCGGGCCTGCAGGCGGCGCGGCGGGTGGTGCGGGCGTCGGGTGGTGCGCGGGTGAAGCTGGAGCGGACGGAGACGCGGCGGCGGCGGCTGGAGGCGGTTGCTGGGGCGGGTTCGGAGCGAGAGAGGGGCGCACATCGGGGCTTGTTGCAGGATGTCTCGGGCCAGCGCCGCCCGCCAGAGCCAAAAGGAGAATTTTACTGCGCTGTCACAGCAGACTGGCTCGGACTGGCACTACAAATGGCACAGCAGGCGACGGCCCCATACGGGTCGTCAAAGAGGCCGGCGTACTCCTCCGGCCGCTCCTCCCCCTCCCAATCCTCCCCGGGCTCTGGCTCCTCCTCCTTCGCCCGCGCCCTCGCCCCCCGCCGGCGGCGATTCCGTGCGGCCGTCGCCCCCGCCCCCTCCCCGCCCCCATCACGGCCGGAGCCGTAGCAGCCGGCTGGCTCCATGGCTGCGGCCCGATCCTCCGCCCTGTCCGCCCTCACCGCCGGCATGGCGGCGTCGCACGCCTTCAGCCCGCGATAGCGCCCGCACTATGTGCCTCGCCCGTTACGCCGCCGCCCCTCACCGTCCTGTCTTGTCGAGAGAACCGGCGC